TCACACCTCCCTAAACGAACCGGACTTTCTAGGAAAATGAGCTAGAGTTCGATTAAAGCGGACTAAACAGGGCTGGTGTGAATGCACCCTCAGTCTAACCGCACCCTGGAGAGGATGGCGAAACAAAACCCATTCCAAAATGTGGGGGAGATTTACAAAGAGTGGATTGCAGCTGGAATCAGTGCTTCAAGAACCACCACACACAGACATATGCAAGACGTGTTTCAGCTGCCCCATTCCTTGTCAAGCCACTCTTGAACAAGAGACAGCATCTGAAGTGTCTCACCTAGGACTGCTGCTGAGTGGTCCAAAGTTATGTTCACTGATTAAAGTAAATTTTGCATTTCCTTTGGAAATCAAAGTCCCAGAATCTGGAGGAAGAGAGGAGAGGCACAGAATCCACGTTGCTTGAGGTCCAGTGTCAAGTTTCCACAGTCAGTGATGGTTTAGGGTGTCATGTCTGCTGGTGTTGGTCCACTGTGTTTTCTGGGGTCAAAGGTCAACACAGCCACCTGCCAGGAAATTTTAGAGCACTTCCTGCTTCCTGCTGCTGACCAACTTTATGGAGATGCAGATTTCATTTTCCAACAGGACTTGGCACCTGCACACAGTGCCAAAGCTACCAGTACCTGGTTTAAGAACCATGGTATCCCTGTTCTTAATTGGCCAACAAACTTGCCTGATCTTAACCCCATAGAAAATATATGGAGTATTGTGAAGAGGAAGATGTGATACACCAGACGCAACAATTCAGAAGAGCTGAAGGCCACGATCAGAGCAACCTGGGTTCTCAGAACACCTGAGGAGTGCCACAGACTGATCCACTTCATGCCACGCTGCATTGCTGCAGTAATCAAGGCAAAAGGAGCAACAACTAAGTATTGATGCTGTACATGCTCATACTTTTCATGTTCATACTTTTCAGTTGGACAACATTTCTAAAAATCCTTGTTTTTTTTTAATTGGTCTTAAGTAATATTTTTTTAATAACTTTTCATCATGTTTTAATTTTATGACTAGCACCCGAATGTTCATCTGTTTTAACTGTTAGTCTGGACTGTCTTCACAAGACTAAACCTTGACGTGCAGGAGAATAAAGGTGACAACTTTGTGCACAAAAAGCAAGAAAATTAATATTAAACAAAAAAATGTTGCAAATTGTAAATTCTGTGTTGTTAGCAATTCCAGAAACTATGCCAATGTCTTCCCCACTAATATCTATGCTCAGGAGCTGCAGTTCAAGCTGCAGATGTAAATGTTCTGTAGGTTTGAGAAAATGAGAATGCTCTGCAATTTGTCAGTAGGGGATGATGATGTGTCGACAAGTTAGACCAGTGGAGAATTCAGTTCAGTTTATTTCTTTAACGCTAAGTCTCGACAGAAGTTGTCTCAGTGCACTCTACAAAAACATTCACATACATTATAAATTATAATTAATAAAAGTTCTCTGTCTAAGAAAGCCAGCAGATTGTGTTCAATCTTCACTTTATCACAGTCTCCCATCCTGAGCAAGCACAAAGGAGACAGTGGAAAGAAAAACTCCCTTTTAAAAGAAAGAAACCTCCAGCAGAACCAGCTCAGGACAAGCAGCCATCTGCTTTGACCAGCTGGTTGAGAGGACAGGAAGGAGAGACAGATGAACACAGAATGGTAGGTCCAGGTATAGGTCCAGGTATAGGTCCAGGTATAGGTCCAGGTCCAGGTATAGGTCCAGGTGCTTCTGAAAGACAAAAAAAAACATGTTAAGGATAGAAAAAATAATTACAAATACAAAACAGATTGAGCAGAGTAAGTAAAGACAGTAGCAGAGTGAAAAAGTGTGGTCAGTTTGTCCTCCAGCAGTCTAAGCCTATAGCAGCAGAACTAAGGGACAGCTCAGGAAACCCAAGCCCACCCTAACTATAGGATTTATCAAAAAAGGAAAGTCTTAATCCCAGTTTTAAAACTAGATAATGTGTCAGCCTCATGGACAGAGATTGGAAGTTGGTTCCACAAGAGAGGAGCCTGAGAACTGAAAGTTCTGCCTCCCATTCTGTTTTTGTAAATTCTAGGAACCACAAGTAAACCTGCAGCCTGAGAGCGAAGTGCTCTGTTAGGAAAATATGGAACAATAAGATCTGTAATATAAGATGGAGCTAGGTTGTTGAGAGCTTTGTAGGTTAGAAGTAAGATTTTGAATTCTATTCTGGATTTGACAGGGAGCCAATGGAGAGAAACTCAAACTGGAGAGATATGATCTCTCCCAGTAACTCCAGTTAAGACTCTGGCAGCAGCATTTTGGATCAACTGAAGACATTTTAAAGAAGTATTTGGACACCCAGATAATAAACCATTGCAATAGTCCAGTCTAGACGTGACAAATGCATGGACCAGTTTTTCTGCATCATTTTTAGATCAGATGTTTCTAATGTTAGTGATATTACGCAGGTGGAAGAAGGAGGTTCTAGTAACGTTTTTAATGTGGGGGATAAAAGACATGTCCTGATCAAAAATAACACCAAGATTTTTAACATTAGAGCTGGAGGACAGATTAATGCATCTAAGGAGGGAGAAAGACTGAAACATTCATTCCTAAGGTGCTCAGGTCCAAAAACCAAAACCTCAGTCTTGTCTGTGTTCAACAGGAGAAAATTAAGAGTCATCCAGGTTTTTATGTCTTTAAGACATGCTTGTAGTCTAAGTAGCTGATTGGATTCATTGGGTTTAATGGACAAATATAATTTTGTGTCATCAGCATAACAATGGAAATTTATCCCATGCTGTTTAATAACTTTACCTAATGGAAGCATAAAGTAAAGAGTATTGGCCCAAGCACTGAGCCCTGAGGAACTCCATGACTAACTTTGGTGTATGAAGAAGATTTATTATTTACATTTACAAACTGGAATCTATCAGATAGATATGATTTAAACCATTTTAGAGCCGTTCCTGTAATCCCAACATCATATTCAAGCCTCTGTAGTAAAATATTGTGATCAACTGTATCAAATGCAGCACTGAGGTCTAACAGGACCAGTATAGACACAAGTCCATTGTCTGAGGCCATGAGAATATCATTAGTGACTTTTACTAGTGCTGTTTCTGTGCTATGATGAGCTCTAAACCCTGACTGAAACTCTTTAAACAGATTATTTCTTTGTAGATGTTCACACAGCTGACCTGCAACTATTTTCTCTAGAATTTTGTAGATGAAAGTTAGATTAGATATAGGTCTATAGTTGGCCAGAATTTCTGAATCAAGGTCAGACTTCTTAAGTAAAGGTTTAATTACAGCAACCTTAAAGCGCTGTGGTACATAACCATCCATTAAAGATGAAGTAAGCAGATCCAAAATGTGGATATTAATTAAGGGAAGTACCTCTTTAAACAGTCTGGTTGGGATGCACCAGCCGCCAGGTACCATGCACTTTACCCATCACGATCCTCCTGCAGGAGGTGGAGCCACTGGGGTGTGAGCCAGCTAAGGCTGGTGCCCATGGGTAAAGGCCCAACAACCAGGTAAATGACCACGGGTCCCAATTCAAACCTGGCTTGAGGGTGAGACCCCTGTGATGGGCTTGCAACCTGTCTATCATGTAACTCACGTCTCTAACAATAACCGATGGATAACCACTGGAACTAGGCACCAGCTTCCCTGTGACTCAAAAAGGAAAAAGCGGTTAAAGAAAAGGGACAGATGGAGACCAGCACCCACAGAATCTGTTCCAAAATAATTCTGGCACATGAACAGATTTAGTTTGTGACCCCAGTCTTGTATAGACAGTCCTGCTGATACAGTTTCCATGGAAACAGCAGCCAGCTGTTAGCACGGTGATGAGAGGCTGATGATTTGGGGTCTGGACGTCTCTGTAATGATCAAGAACTCTTCTGTAGACCGAAGGATTCCAGAGTTAGATGCGGTCATCTGTCTGACAGCTGAAGCTCAGACCGGACCGAGTCACAATGTAACAGAAGTTTGATCCCAAACATGGAAGTTGATTTACAGCAGAACAGATTGAGGTGTTAAAGAGAACTGTTTGTTTATTTTTTCAATCCGTCCAGAGGACATGACTTAACTTTGTTAGTTTTGACTTCCTGGATTATTGAGCAATGCATCAGGATATTGAAGCAACATAGTCAATTAAAAAAAAGCGTGTCCGACTTTCTTCATAGGAATGTGACTAATGCGGTCAAACAAAAGACGATTACTTCAGGTTTTTCCTGCTAAACATGGTTCTATGGGTTGTTCAGTCCTGAAGTACTAGTTTCTTTCTTCTTTTTTTTTCAGAACACCTCGTACTGTTCTTTTCCAGTGTAAATCTTACCCACGTAATTATTTATACCAAAAACATTTAGGTTTAATTGCCTTCCCTGTTCAAGTAGTGCAAACATTAACCATTTTAACTTTGGTGCGGCTGTGGCTGAGTGGTTAGAACAGTCGTCCTCCAATGCGAGAGTTGGGGCTTCGAATCCACCAGCAGTCACATGCTGAAGTGTCCCTGGGCAAGACACTGAACCCCTCATAGCCTCTGATGTGTGCCCCATCAGTGTATGAATGTGAGCTAAAGCACTGATTAGTCTCATTAGAATGATTTGTTCAATTATCTTTGTAGAGATCTAGTAGAGAGCTGTATGAATGGGTAAATGAGGACACAGATTGTAATGTAAAGTGCTTTGAGTATCTTGAAATAAGATAGAAAGGCGCTATATAAGTACAGTCCATTTACCATTTACAATTCACACCCCTCAGAGATGGTGGCCACTGGCCACCTTGTTTTTAAATACAGCACCTCCACCATATGACAGAGCAGGGATTCAGCCACCATGAACCTTTTTGAGATCATCTTTGATAAACTGCAGTTAAACCCCATCAACAGCTTGTGTGCAGTTTATGGAAAAGGTGGCTTAGTTACATTTCAGTGTTTGCAGTGAGTTTACAACCAAGTTAAATTTGTCTGCCTGTGTAAAATCAGTTGTCTTTATTGTCCTTCAGATACACACGTCCTGGATGATGGTGGACTCCACATTAGCTCAGGTGGGAAACGATCTGAACCATGCCATGAGGATCCTGGGAGACGGGCCAATGTAAGACCTGATTGAGTTCCAGCCACTTGAACCATCGAGCTTCTGTTCTTTCCTAAATAGTTGTTAATGGTTGTTTTAGATTAGTAATACCTGGTCAAATACTTTGAATGTGTGTGCATGAATGAAAATAAAATGCAAGATTAGTATAATTTTTTTTTTGTTTGTTTTAGGGTGCCCGATGCAGGAATGGAGAGGCAGCGTTTTACTAGAAGGAGCATACCTGGACCACTGCAGGGAGAGTAAGACCCTACACCCCTCAGTTTAGCATACATCCTAGGACCCCTGGTGCAACATCAACAATAACAATAACTAGAGAAATAGCATTTCCTGCCAAAATGCACTGTGAATGCTTATTAGAGAAGAACTTGCTGAAAAACAGCTGAAATTAGCTAAACATGCTGAAATGGAAGAACAAGCCTAAATTAGCAAAAGAAGCAGAAATAATACAGGTGCTGGTCATAAAATTAGAATATGAAGAAGTTTATTTCAGTAATTCCATTCAAAAGTGAAACTTGAATATTATATTCATTCATTACACACAAACTGATATATTTCAAATGTTTTTCTTTTAATGTTGATGACTGACAACTAATGAAAACACCAAATCCAGTATCTCAGAAAATTAGAATATTACTTAGACCAATAAAAAAAGATTTTTAGAAATGGTGGCCATCTGAAAAGTATGAACATGAAAAGTATGAACATGAAAAGTTCGAACATGAAAAGTTCGAACATGAAAAGTTCATGTCACCAGCAGATGACATATCGCCCCAAACCATCACTGACTGTGGAAACTTGACACTGGACCTCAAGCAACGTGGATTCCGTGCCTCTCCTCTCTTCCTCCAGACTCTGGGACCTTAATTTCCAAAGGAAATACAAAATTTACTTTGATCAGAGAACATCACTTTGGATATGTCATCTGCTGGTGTTGGTCCACTGTGTTTTCTGAGGTCTAAAGTCAATGTAGCCATATATAGTACCAGGAAGTTTTAGAGCACCTCATGCTTCCAGGTCCTGATCAACTTTATGGAGATGCAGATTTTCCATCAGGACTTGGCACCTGCACACAGTGCCAAAGCTACCAGCTACCAAGGACCATCGTATCACTGTTCTTAATTGGTTAGCAAACTCGCCTGACATTAACCCCATAGAAAATGTGACTATGGGGTATGGTGAAGAGGAAGATGTGATACGCCAGACCCAACAATTCAGAAGAGCTGAAGGCCACTATCAGAGCAGCCTGGGCTCTCATAACACCTGAGTAGTGCCACAGACAGATCGACTCCATGCCACGCCGCATTGCTGCAGTAATCCAGACAAAAGGAGCAACAACTAAGTATTGATGCTGTACATGCTCATATTTTTCATGTTCATACTTTTCAGTTGGCCAACATTTCTAAAAATCCATCCATCCATCATCTTCTGCTTGTTCCGAAATCGGGTCGCAGGGGCAGCAGCTTGATCAGGGAAACACAGACATCTTTCCACAGCCACCTCTTCCAGCTTTTCTGGGAGGATTCCAAGGCGTTCCCAGGAAAACCGAGAGACGTAGTCTCTCCATTTTGTCATGGGTCTTCCCCTGGGTCTCCTCCCAGTTGGACATGCCCGAAGCTCCTCCCTAGGGAGGCACCCAGGGGGCATCCTTACCAAATGCCCGAACCACCTCAACTGGCTCCTCTCGAAGTGGAGGAGTAGCGGTTCTACTCTGAGTCTCTCTTAGATATCTGAACTTCTCACCCTGTCTCTAAGGGAGAGTCCAGTTACCCTGCAGAGGAAATTCATTTCAACCACCTGTATCCACAATCTCATACTTGGTCACTACCCAGAGCTCATGACCATAGGTGAGGGTAGGAACATAGACCGACTGGTAAACGGAGATCTTTGCCTTACAGCTTAGCTCTCTCTTCATCACAACCGACCGGTACAGAGTCTGCATTACTACAGATGCTGCACCAATTAATCTGTCAATCTCACGCTCCATTCTTCCCTCACTCGTGAACAAAACCTCAAGATATTTGAACTCCTCCACTTAAGGCAGAACCTCACCTTTGACCCAAAGAGAACAATCCACCCTTTTCCGGTTGAGGACCATAGCCTCAGATTTGGAAGTGCTGATTCTCATCTTAGCCGTTTCACACTCGGCTACGAACTGCTCCAGTGAGAGCTGAAGTTCACGGCACGATGATGCCAACAGAACCACATCATCTGCAAAGAGCAGAGATGTAATCCTGAGACCACCAAACTGGAAACCCTCCGCCAGCTGGCTGCAGCGAGAAATTCTGTCCATAAAAGTTATGAACAGAATGGGTGACAACGGGCAGCCCTGGTCCAACTCACACCCTGAAGGGGTCTGACTTACTACCGGCAATGCGAACCAATCTCTCGCACCGCTTGTATATGGAATGAACAGCGCATAACAATGGACCTCCAATCCCATACTCACAGAGCACCCCCCACTAGTGTTGTAGTACTTGATACAGGTCTTGGTCTTGAGACCGGTCTCAAGACCACTTTTTTTTTAGGCCCGAGCAGCGAATCGCTAGCGCTGCGAAGGGATATTGTAATCATTAGACCCGAGTAATTTTTCCGTCAAATTAATTGGCGTTTTGGGGGTCTTAACATATCCCCAAACTCACCAAGTTTGGCGGACGCATCAGGACTTGTGAAAAATTACGTATTTTAAGGGCGTGGCAAAAATTGCAACAGAAACTGCTCAAGAGCGCCACCTAGAAATTTTAGAAAAACCCTTTGCATTAACCTTAGTTTGTCGTAGAAACATGAAATTTCGTGCGCTTGTCCAATTCCCCAAGATGCACAGAAAACTCTCTGGCACTAACGCTGTATGATAAACAGGAAGGCGGCCATTTTGGAATGCCAGCCCAATTTTCACACCTTTTTGGTGGTTTACAGTCTCCGCATTTGAACGAACTCCTCCTAGGGATTTCCCTCAATCAGTTTCAAACTTGCCCATTTTAGTCAAAAGGCATGGGGGACGCAAAGTTATCAAAACGGTTTGTTTCGGAGCATGCTGAAGGGTCAGGGCCAGACCTCAAAGTTTGACATCTTGCCATGAAAAATGAAACGCTAATAACTCCTACAAGAAAACTATCTGAGACATCAATGATTGATCCACATCTGGTCCCCTGCAAGACTGAATAGTCAAATCATGACTTCACTTAAGCCACGCCCCTGACAAGAGGACGTTTAAAGTTTTATGTTGAACGGTCCTTATCTGACCCCTGTGATGTAATCAGCATGATTGTGTGTCCAGTGACCTAAGACATGTTGGTGTAACTTGCTTTCCAACACTGACAGTTTTGGGTGGAGCATGTGGGCAGCGCAGCGTGGCGAAGTAAGACGCAACGCTGTCGCCATACGTTTGGCTCTAAATTCCAAAGATTTGAGCTGAGGTGCACCAAAATCAGTATGATCGATCATTATCCATCCCTTGAACAGGAATCCATGATAAGTAGCCAATAGCCTCCACAGCGCCCCCTAGAATATTTTAAAACCTCAGCCCCAAGCAAATTTATGACCGATAATTCTGAAACTCAGCGAACGTCTGTATCTTCTCAGGACCTTTGAAAAAGTCTCTTGAAGCCCTGGTCCAAACTCAACAGGAAGTCAGCCATTTTGGATAAAATGACCATTTTGGGGCATTTCTAATTGCGAATTTTAACTAACTCCTCCTAGGAATTTTGAAGGATTGCCTTCAAACTTGGTTGATATGCCCTTAAGACATTGGAGAGTAAAAGTTATGTAAAGCTTGTGTTTTCGTATATGTTAAAGGGGCATGGCCAGGCCTCAAAGTTTCGCTTGATGCCATAAATTTCCAAACACTAACTTTCACATTGAAAGACCGAAATGCACAAAACTTTGCATGACTCATCCCTGTTGGTTACCCGACGATCCACTGTGGTCATATTTTGACATCATCAAAGGCCCACCCCCTCGGAACAGGAAGTCACTTTTTTAACTTGGAATGCTCCCTCTTTGGCACCATTGACCTAATCAGGATGATCCTGTGTTAGAAGACGGATAATATGGTCTGACTTGATTTAAAGCGCAAACCGTTTTTGCTGGAGAATGTGGGCGTGGTGGCGTGAAGAATTAAGAAGTGACGCCATTGCAATAAGTTTGGCTCTCAATTGCACAGATTTCAGCCGATGTGCACCAAAATCACAATGATCGATCAATATCGGCCCCTTGAACAGATATCCATAATAAATGGCCAATAGCCTCCTTAGCACCACCTACATTATTCTTACAGCTATAACTCAGTGATACAACATCCGATCTGCACCAGATTTATTGTGTTTCTTCAGTGAGGAATTTTAGACACATTGATGTTGTGGTTTAACATATGACTCGAGTGCGCACCCTAGATTATTTAATCAGTTATATCTCAGTGATATATCATCCGATCTAAGCCAGATTTTGGGTACGTCATTAGTGAGCACTTCTACACACACTGGTCTTGTTGTTTAACTTTTGACTCCAGTGCGCCCCCTGGAATATTCCAACAATTATATCTCAGTGATACATCATCCAATCTGAACCAGAATTTTTGTGCATAATCAGTGACCACATCTAGACACATTGATATTGTTGATTATTGGATGACACTTCCAGCTTCGCACTGTGTAAAATATTAGACTGAAACTTTGTTCGTCAACTGTTGATTGCCACACATGACATGTTGAAAAGCATAAAGGAAGTGCTTGTCAAACATTCGCCACAAAACATGAAGTCACCATAACTCCTGTCTGGAAGGTCAGATTTCGCCTATACTCAAGATCTGCAGCTGGACAAGTAACGACATGGACGGAAAGTGATGTCCAAGATTCGGGAAATGCTCCCTGTGGTGAACGCGTGCAGGATTGACACGAGAGCGTTCGCGATGGTGACTGGGTGGACTAGCTGGAGCTCCCGCAGTCGCTGTAAGGCCGGAGCGGCGCTTTGCTGCAAGGTCCCCCAATGCTGCTTGCAGCTTTAATTTTACTTGGAATGCTCTCTCTCACCTATGGACTCCCCCTAGTGCGCCCCCTAGATTATTCCAACAGTTCTATTTCAAGATACTTCATCCAATCTGTACCAGATATTTTGTGCTTCATCAGTGAGCACTTGTATACACACTGGTAATGTTCTTTAACATTTGACTCAAGTGTGCCCCCTAGATTATTCCAATAGTTAAATTTCAGTGATGCATCATCTGCTCTGCACCATACTTTTGGTG